TTCTGCAACAGATTCTTGATCACAAGTGGTAGTGATGGTTTATGGAAGGCACCAACAGGTGGCCTGTGGCTTTGGGTTCTCTCTCAACCCTTCTTTTTTCTTTGGTTTTAGAGAGAAAAAGGATAGTAGTGTAGAAACTAAAATGCGAGTGGGATGACTGAGCTAATGTAGGATATAACTAGGGGAGATGCTATGGTTTGGAATCATTTCTTCGAGATTTATTATGATGATTTAACGGTTATAAATCTCGACGGAATGATTCCGTAACGGGACTATAGCATTTTCCTTATAACTAGTTGAGGTTCTCCTTTTGTGTCAGGATATGGCTTTCATAAATCATGTAACTGCCCCTATTGTTTTTTTCTTGGGTGATGATGCAATTTTTACTTACAAAGTCTCAAAATGTAATATTTTTCTTGCTTTTATTGGGTGGAGATTTTCTCCCAAGAAGAGAGACATTTATTTATCAACTATCAATTTTTATTTTTTTTTCGATTTTGTACAGTTTAAATCATATATTTTTATTGCTCGAAATTGATAGTGTAAGAAACTGGGGAAACATGGGTGCGGTTCCACTAACATGAAGCGCACCATGAGAAGGAAAAAGCCCATATGAAGTCCAAGTGGGGTTCTATCCCAAAACCAATTGGTGGAAGGAGGAGTAGCCCATTAGACCCCTCACTTGTGAGTTCTTCAGAAGCCCAAGCCCAACTGGGCGCCCCAAGCCTACTAGAAGCAGACTTTCTAGTAGACTCCCATAAACAGGTACGTCATCGCACGGTCCCAATAGAACCGAGCTCTGATACCATGTAAGAAACTGGGAAAACATGGGTGCACCATGAGAAGGGAAAAATCCATATGAAGCCCAAGTGGGGTTCCATCCCAAAACCAATTGGTGAAAGGAGGAGTAACCCATTAGACTTATAAGGTGGGTCTATTTTCCATGTAAGTGATATTCTAACACCCCCTCACTTGTGAGTCCTTCAGAAGCCCAACTGGGCGCCCCAAGCCTATTAGAAACGGGTACGTGGGGAAGCAGACTCCCATAAACGGATACGTCATCGCACGGTCCCAATAGAACCGAGCTCTGATACCATGTAAGAAACTGGGGGAACATGGGTGCGGTCCCACTAACATGAAGCGCACCATGAGAAGGGAAAAATCCATATGAAGCCCAAGTGGGGTTCCATCCAAAAACCAATTGGTGGAAGGAGGAGTAGCCCATTAGACTTATAAGGTGGGTCTATTTTCCATGTATGAACGATGTGGGACAACTCACAAGTGATATTCTAACAGATAGATAGTAATA